GATAGATAGATAGATAGATAGGTAGATAGAAGCACAGGAAGATCGATAGAAAGAAAATAGATAGAGACAAGGTTCATGGATGGATGGATGGATGATAGAGGGATGGACAGGTAGAAACCCATAGTGACAGAGAGAGAGAGGCAGAGACGGCTGATTTCTGAATGTCTCTATCGATATGCTCACGTGCGGAATGGTTTATATAACAGTTCGATTTTGTATGTAGTTTGCCGATGTCATCATTTATCTGTTGCGTGCTTGTTGTTTTTATTGGCTTATCGACATGTTGATTTGCAGATGTGTGTATCTATGTAGGCTGGTACGTAGCTAGGTATGCAGGCAGGCGAGCAGGCAGGCAGTTGGTGAGGTATTTTTGCCGATGTCACCACTTGTTCACTGTGTGCTTGTTGTTTTTGTTTAGTTATCAACATGTTAAGTTGCGTATGTGTGTATCTATGTAGGCAGGTACGTAGCTAGGCAGGCAGGCAGGCAGGCAGGCAGGTTGTCAGGTGAGCAGGTAAGCAGACAGGAAAGTAATGTAGATACGTTTATGCATGTATGTGTATGTATGTATGCAAGTTTGTATGTATGTGTGGGTATGTATGTATGTATGTATGTATGTATGTATGTATGTATGTGCATGCATGTATGTATGTATGTATGTCTGTACGTATGTACGTATGTATGTGTATGTATATATATATATATAGATCTGTCTATGTACATGAATACCTATATATGTATATCTATATATGTATATGTATATGTATATGTATATGTATATGTATATGTTTTGTATATGTACATGTATGTGTGTATATTTGTACGCGTGTGTGTGTAGATTTGTATGCGTGTGTGTGTGTGTGTATGTCTGTATGTATATGCGTATGGAAAGATGTATATGCCTGGAAGGATGTGTATGTGCATGTTTATGTGAATGTGCAGGTGCATATGCATGTGTGTATGTATGTACGTATCTCCTTATGCACGTCTGTGCACATGCATGCATGCATGCATGTACGGAAGCACACAGGTGTCTGCATGTGCGCATGGAAGCGCAGACATAGATACACATGCCGATGCAAGCATAGAAATAGATGAACATGTAGATGTGTTTGCACATGTATATTATATGTCCGTATGCGATAACATGCGCGTTCACCCAGATGCCGATGTAGACACAGATGTAGACGTAGACGCAAACGCACATGCATATGTATTTGTACATGTGCCTTTATCTGTCTCTCTATCTCAACTCATTTGTGTTTTTGCCTTCATCGTTGGTGCTTTGCCCTCCGCTGTCCTCGACATCTCAACAGGGATAGGCTCTGCGGTGCAGGCCCACTGAAACTCAGGGCTTTGGGTGCCTTCTCGTGCTTTCATGTGACCGTCTCGCTTCGAAGCAACAGAAGACGGCCTAGCTTGTCTTGCGACATCGAACGTGTTCTCCCTTTAGTTTCTCTTTCATTGACAGCACACGGGCATGAGCATGATATTTCTGCTTCATCAGACCGTGAGTCGTTACACCTTTCCTTCACTGCCTCACTGGGTTCGGCCTGTCACAGAGAGCGAAAATCCCTCGTCCCGTACCAGAGTGTTCTCGCGATCTTCGTGCCCAACATCACTTCTTGCCAAAATTGACCCTTGCTGCATCAATGTCGAGTTGTGCCATCACACGTCTGTCTTGCTCTTTGGTCTGATCTTGCTTTACGATTGCACTTTTGTGGCACTACTAAAGCATGTATCTTACCACTGCGGCTGCAAGATGAGCCATCTACTTTATATGAACACACAAGTCTACCGCCGAGATCCCAAAATTCTGTAATGTGATTGGCCTCGGTCATGCAGTAGATGTAGTTGTCCAAGGGGTTCACGCCGCAAGCGTTGAAACACTCGCCCTCGAACTTGCAAATCAACCTCGGTTTGGTGTGGCCTGACACCTGGGCACCGGAACGTAAAGGGCCTGAACAGAAATAAACATCAACCATCATCAACCCAAACCCCGAAGCAGAGATCTACACAATCTGAAACCGAAATGCGAGTGCAGAGAAGCCATAGAGGACGACATCAACCGAGATCCCTAAGACCGCAAACCATTGAAGTCTTGGCAGCGGGTTCAATGCTCCCGCATGTAATCAACCATAGAGATCTTGTGGAGCAACTCACCATGCAACATACATCTATGGAGTGTGGAAGAACAAAGTGTCGGGGTCTCAAAGGTCCCTTCCCTTCATAGTTCGGATGGGTTAAACCGGATCATAACCGCCCTTTCCACGGTACCCACTAGCACTGTGTTGGCGGGGACGGGGGGGGATATAGGGCTTTGGCGGACACAATAGCATACTCATAGTAGGGATTATACCAGTGTGCTATGCTCTCCCCAAAACCCTAAACCCTAAACCCCCAAACCCCAAACCTTAAACCCGATCCAGTCGTAGCAACTCGTACTCTCCGGTCGAAAGGTTCAAGGACTGGATCGTTCCTGCAAAACTCAGAATAAATAGATCAATCACGATATTAGACTAAAGTAGGGTTTGGGGGTCGATCACTACAACAGTTTGAACCTACAGCAATGACTCTTTAAGGGCAAGAATAGCGACAGCTGTACTGTGCAGTCCACTCAGTCCACCGTACTTACCAGCACAAAGGCTCGAACGGAATACTATTGCTGGTTGTTGCGGCGCCCATTGCCACGCCTTGGACCCTAGGCCCTTAACGCCGCGGCTTAGTGTTGCAGGCGGCTTTTCCTCAACGGTTCACAGAATATCTTTGGGCACCGTGCCTGCTGGGAGTTGCGGAGACAAGAATACATTGAGATACACCCAGAATACTAGGATCCTTATTCTTAGGACCCAAGAAGAGTCGAATGGAGAATTGAGAAGCCCAGATAAAACTAACAAGCTATGGCCCGTCCAAAAACCTGCAAAACTCTCAATAAAGAACACATCTTTAAACTTCGGGAAACCCCACCTGAGTCTCCATCTCCAAAAAAAAACGACCCCAAGCCCCAGGCTTTAGCCTCAACGTCAGGGTTTAGGGTTTAGTCCAGTTCAGCCATTTGGGGAGGTCTCTGGGACTTCTTGAAGGCCTGTGGGGAAAGGGGCGGGAAGCAAGGCTTTACGGGTTGGGGTTTGGGGCTTTAGGCTGGTTTAAGGCTTGGGGCCTGTTTGGGAGTTGAGGGAGGGCGCTAGGGGAATCCCCCAGATGCAGTCCTGCGGCCTACCCTACCCTCACAACCGACAACCATAGAGGAGACCTCCGAAAAGTCACTCTAAAAACCCGTTGAAAAATCCTATGTCCCGAATCGAAATCCTAAGTCGGCCCTCCTAAGCCCTCCCCCCAAAACCCTGCCAGTGCTCCTCGGAGACAGTTGCCGTCAATCCTTGTGTACAAGAAGCTTCTGCGTGCAAGCATTGAACACACAGACAAAATCTCAATACTTCCGTCAGTTCGAAAAGAATGTCAAAATCTGCTGCCAGAAACTTCAGAACCCAAGAACACAACCCCAACACTGACTACCACCCTTGTGCAGAAACCTTTCAAGGCCGATTCACGACACCTGCAATTCAAACCTCCCCATGAAGGCGACAATGGAGTAGTGCAAACGCCTTTAACGGCCCCTCGCTGCCCAGATCTAGCACCGAGCCCGCAACCCTGAACCACCAAACTCTAGCCCTAACATCTTAAACCTAAACAAGTGGTATTTACCCCCGAAACCATACTTAGTTCTCGTCAACAAGGAAAGCAACAGGTACCCCTTATTGTCGACGTTTGGAGCTTCTGGTTGGCCTCATATTTTCCCCTGCAGGACTTTTTTTAAAAAAAGGTATTAAGAACCTCTTGGGGATTCTATTCCGGCTTCGCAGTCTGCGTTTACGGCTTCACACCGGAGCGGGGAGATCCTTCTGGGTAACCTAGTAGAATGTGTAAAAGCCTCTTCACAGCCCTAAACCCTATAAAGGTTAAACATAAAAACACAACCCAGAATAAAGCCTCCACCCTGAAACGCTGGCTTCTATGTTAAACGACCCTAAACCCTAAACCTTACAGTAACCCATATATGCCACATAGGTACCCTTACAGTAACCCTCATAGTAACTGAAAGCGCTACCGTACCCAACCAGCGACTGCTCGTTGATCGCCTGCAATGCCAGCGTAGAGAAACTGCTGGTGTTCGAGCAGTTCCATTCCTCGTGCAGGGGTTTCTCTTCTGCGGTTTCGGATGTACGGTTCAGGATTTATGGTTAGGGTTTGGGGGTGTGGGGGGTATGGGCTTTGGGGTTCAGGGGCTCAGCGTTCAGGAACCGCAAAGTGTATGTCGTTGTCTGCACGACTCTTCAGATTGCCGTCACTACCATCATGGGCATTGCTGCAAGTCGGCAAGGCTGCACTGGGAATTCTGTGATGATGGCATTATGGCTTAAGGTGTACAGTGCACCCTGCCCACCATCAATCTGCCTGCAGACCTGAATCCTGAACTGTCAATCCTAAACCTCAACACGAGCCACAAACGTTGGTGAAACCGTGGTGCAGATCAGATGCCGTTGTGTTGCACCTCACAGCTGGGAACTGTTGTTCTTGACTTGTAGGCTCACAAAAGGCGCACCAGAAAACCTGCTGACCTTCGGTGCTCGAGGCTTTGGGCTTGCGCATTGGTGGCGATCCTCAAAGAGTTCTGGGAGACAAGGGGGTCTGAGCGTTGCTTTTTTGGCTTAGGCCTGTCATATCCCAGAAGCACCGAATAAGCACACGTTCTAGTCGATCTTACCAAGCACAAAGCTTTGGGTTGCGGGTCTTCCTGCTCTCGTAGTGGACGGAAGCATCGCAGGGTTTCGCTGCACGTGGTACGAAAAGTAAACGGGATCTATCGGCCTGAACGCATGACTTCTGCTTCTGCCCCAACTGGGAGTTGCTACTCCACAGCAATTTTGGGTCTATAGGATTCGGAACCGCTCGGGCCTGCGGCACAGCATCACCCCGCAACTTGCGACACCTGTCGGCACCTGAAGGGCGGCACCCACCCCCAGGGCTGCAGCACCCTCCCACTGCGATGTGAGCGCTGCCATTACCAGGGGCGGTGCACCTTGTGAATGGTAAGCACTTCTCGTGCCCTTTGTGGCTTTGCCACTGCGGTACCGGAGACTTAGCGCTGAGACTAGAAGGCCGTAGAGCGTGCCGAGGTTCCGGTAGGCATCGAGAGGTTGGTTGACGTCTGCCCTTGGCTCCACGATCCGCTCCACAAGCTTTGCGCTGGGCTGAACCGCCGAGGTGACGAGGCCGTAGAGCATCTGGCGAACGTCACAGGCCTGGCCCCGAGCTCGATATGCTATGAGAAGCTCCTCCAAGGCCATCATGGATGCATGGTGACAAGCAGCGGTCTCCGCCTTGAAGCCAAAGATGTTTGCCCCGGGCAGCTTGCAGCCGGCGCCGCAGAGAAGTCGGATGCCTTCCGGGTTGTTCCCGATCACTGCAGCATGAATCGGTGAATGGATGGGGCCTGCGTCCAGATTGGCTTCAACGCGTCCGACACATCGTTGTGCTTGAAGAGGAGGCTGACTGCCAGCGCGGAGGTCCCGGGAGACAGGTCCAAGCGCCACTGGCCTTTTTTCGTCAGCTGCTTGTGGTCGGCACGGAGTTTTAGCAGGACTTTAAGCACGGCGGGATCTCCGCGGAGGGCGGCATAGTGCAAGGCCGACCACTCGGCACCGTCCGTCTCGCGGATGGTCCGGAAGCCGTTCTGGTGCAGGAATTTGGCTACCGAGAGACACCCAAGCTCCACCGTCAAGTCGCTGTCGGTCTTGAAGTCCGGGACCGGCTCGAGCGGCGGGATAGCCTCGCAGGTAGATGGCCTGGAGGTTTAGGAAGACACGATAGCCCACAAAATCCTGAGCCATCACCAGGCGCAGGAGCTTGCGCTTGAGCGCTGCCACCAACATTTGCTTGACTCTGGGTCCGGGTGATCCGAGCCCAGCCACTGGTGCGAGACAAAAACTGCTTTGCCCATGTTTTCGTTGAACTCTACTAGCAAGTCTTGGGCCAAGAGCTCCTCGTGCGAGTAGATCTGTGTCATTTGCATCAGAGTTGGCTCGGGAACCGTGCACATGGGGAACTCCATCGGCAAGGCTTCCTCTGCAGCTCCGAGTGCTGGAAGTGATCTTGCGAACTCTTCCAGCGGGGTCAGCGCGCTGGGACCACACCATGCCATGGCGGAGGGGACGGGCGTTGGCCGTACGGGGCTAGGTCGTTGCTTAGCCCCGAGGTCGAAGCCGAGGAGCCAGCTTCCGACCTTTCTCCTCAAGCGGCACGCCGGCACGGGAGCGAGCACAACAAAAGGGGCGACAGTGTAGGGACAGATGCTCTCGATCGCGACCAAGTCGCACTTGCAGAGGCTCCGGAGTTGTTGTGGTGGTGGTTGACGTCGTGGTGGTCACCTGTGTCAGCTGGGAGGGACCCGATTAGGGTCGGGTATGTTAGTATTACGAAGTGTTTATGGGTTTTCGGCGTTGAACATTCAAAGTAGAAAGTCTTTTTAGGTAACCACAATCTTGCAAACATACGCATCCTGAAGCCATGGAGACAACCCGACCAAACCCTAAAAATGGCCTGAAACACCTGAACCCCTAAACTCCGAGAGTTCCCTAGACAGTTTTTCGCCCACCTCGGCGAAGGGCGAGTTACCAGGACAATTCAAGCCATCGTTGGTGATCGGGACCTGGCTGGTGTTGGCCTGATGCGTGGGACGAGCGGGGAGAGTGGCGGGGGGGGGGGGGGTNNGGGGGGGGGGGGGGGGGTTGAAAGATTTAGGCTTAGGGCTTAGGGTTTAGGGTTTAGGGCTGTAAGGCGAAGGATTCTGACCAGGAGGCTCCACTGACAATCATACAGAGATATATCTTACTGGAATTTGGACGGAGCAGATGTTTGAAGAAGTACCGTGCGTTGCTCTGAGGAGCAAGACGGTTTTCGTAACTTGGCGTTGATTCATGGCTTCAACTTGATGGTTTTGTGGGTCTGTACATGTACGTCGGGGGTTTGCCCGTGGGCTTGAAGCTGGCCCCGAAGATAAAGACTCAGGCCTAGAGGTGGGTCTACAAAGTCTCGGGTTCGGGGCTCACAGCAGCCGTCCTACAGAAAAACGAAGGGACGGTGGACGCCACTGCCACCTACGACCTCAAGCTTAGGCCTCGGTGGAATTAACTCTGCCTAGACCATCCTGAGAGCCAGAGCAATATCGAGCAAAGAACCTCATGGGCAGCAAGAGAACCGATAGCAACAGAGGCACGGCCGCGGCGGGTCCCACGAAGACCTCGCCAGTACGGGCGACAATGTCCGTGACACCTTGCGAAGGAAGATTCGTTGGTTTGGCGTTTAGAGTGTACGGTTAAGCCCCAAAGCCTACATCCCAAAGCCCTCAGGCCCTGAAGCCCTAAAGCCATGTCCATGTGCTCCCTCATGGAACCCGACAATGGGACCCCTGAAATCCTCACAAACAAATAGTCGCTGTGTTGAAGAGACTGTGGCCCCAAGCCAGACCTGCTTGGGGGCCTAATCCTGCAAGTTTTAGGGCTCGGTCTAGTTACGTCGACTCCAAACCCACACAGCAAAGAAGCCGGTGAAGTTCCGGTAATGAATAGTGGTATCGGGATAGAGGTTGTCGTCCTGCTAACGACGAAAAGTCTTGAGTCAGCACGACCATCAAACTTCTGAACCCCAAACCTTCGGCGGAGGGCTTTTTGTTTGTCCTAGGTGCGGCGCCGCGGCTTTGCTTTTGGTGTGGGGCTTGGCTTGGCTTGGCTTGGCCGTTGGTGCGGCTTGGCTCAGCACGGCTGGGCGCCTGCTTTTTTGTTTGCTTTTGGTGCGGCTTGGGTTGGCTTGGCTCGGGCTGGCTTGGCTTGGCTCGCTATTTGATCAATCCAAGCCAAGCCAAGCGGCATCGCAAAAAATCGTCGAGGCAAGCACTGAGGCTAGCCAAAAAAATCGGCTAGCCGAGCCAGCCGAGCCAGCCACGCCGAGACGCACGAACAAAACCATGCAGAGCCAAGCCAAGCCAGCGAGGCCAGGCAGGCAAAGCCGAGTCAAAAACCGAGCCAAGCCAACCCAAGCCAAGCCAAGGCGCACCGAAAACTGAGCCGCACCTCGGGGAAAAAAAAAAACGAAACCCCGCCCACCTAACTGTGGTGGTTTGATCCGTCCGTCTTCCAAAGCCATGTGCCCTAGACCCTGTACTGCAACAAACCCTTCATCGAGCCACAAAGTCATGCACCTGAAACCTAACACCAAAGCCTAAACCCAAAACTTCCCTAGAGTAGCCAAATTCAGCCTTAAAATCCTAAATTCAAAGCCTCTCACATCCCAGAACCCTCTTTCTGCCACCCAAATGGCTCGCAAACTCGTAGAGGATCTCGTAGACGGTGTCGTTGTAGGCGCAGTAGACAGACCCGTTGAAGTTCCTCTTCGGGCATAACTCAAGGATCAGACTCAGGAGTCACGTACTACGATGGATGGACAAAAGCCTGCATGACTTGAAGTAGAGTATAGTACCATAGTTCCCCTAGTTTAGGTATATAATATAGGGTCATGCAGGATTCTGTCCATCAACAGTACCTTTCACCTATTCTATAACACACCCCTTCAAAGACCCCTTACTGACGGGAATCCGTGTTTAAGGTCAGGAGATACTGGGCGTGCTGGCTACAGGACCCGAGAGGACCTATGCATATTTACAGTTTGGCACTTAGGATTCATGTTGTCCTTTTCGGGGGCTAAAGGCTAGAGCTTCGGGAGATCATAGGAACGATGTCCCGACGTGTCAGGCAAGGAGCCATGCCGTGGTGACATCACCTGACGGGAGAGGATCGATGCCAACCATATCCAGCACCTCGGATTGAGGCGCAATGCACGGCCAAGCAAAGGCAGTTCAAAGCTGGGACTTGGACCCATGGATCCATGCTTCCACATTTCCACCTGTAGCTCCGCAACTCCGCATACTTCAACCTAAACTCTAAGCAGACTCTAAACCCTAAGCCATGCGACTAAATCCAGTGTTGGCCCTCATGACCAATTCAAGACCTATGTTTTCGGGTCCTCCCTTCATGAACCATGTGACAACAACGGGTCGAGGGTTTAGGATTCAAGGAGGCTCCAGAGGCTTGGGTTCTAAACTCACGGTTCAAGCAATGGGGTTTGTTAGAGCTCACAATGACGTCCCATTCCCCTCCCTGTTCGTCTGTTGTTGTAGGTAGCTTCACACATGCCTTATGTGATTGGGACTCTTATTTGGATCCCTGCACCTACCTTCATCTCGCCTTTTTGAGCTCTCCGAGTTGGGGCTTCATCCTCAAGCCAGGCGTTAAATGGGCTTGCAAAGATATGGATAAAGTCCAGATCAACTTCTGCCTGGTTAGGTTCAGGGACTCAGCAAACCAAGGAACCATTTGAGGTTGCTCCCCTTCTTAAACCTTAAACACCCTGAGCGCTAGTTGCCCATCCGGACCCTCCTGTGGCAAAGCATCTCATCAGCTTCGTCACTGGGGAATTTGGGGGGTTAGGGCTCCAGGGTTAAAGTGTTCAGGGTTCAGGCTGACGTTCGGAGGGTTTTGGGGTGGTGGGTAGAGGACGTATAGACATTCAGGATTTAGAGTTTGTGTTTGTGGAGTCAGGTTCTGTTCTGGCCGACTAGGCACATAGCGTGCGCTTCGACTTGTGCCGCCGGTGTCAGTCACAGATTGGAAGATAACCTGCCGCGATGCTCATCAGTAGGATCTTGGGAGATAGACTAGAGTCGATCCAGGATTAGTGTGATAAATCGTGCCTCTTGTGTGCACCAACCAGGCTCACAGCCGACCCAAACCCAAGACCGGGCTCAAAAAATAGCTGCGCTGGAAGGCAGTCAATTACTGAATGAAACCAAGGAGGCCAAACAATACTGTATCCTGTAAACCCTAAACCTTAGGCCCTGAACCGCGACCGGAATCTCGCTAAGTTGGCTTTAACCGGCGGGACCTACGATCTTGCCGCAATCCCAACAGCTTCACACAATGGACCATGACTTGCTCGGTTTGGGGAGGGGACATTCCAATTCCCTGTCAATCCCTCACAAGAGTCCAAGTACATCCATCACTTCCGGCTTTCAGGGCTCGCTGGCTTTGTGTTTGGGCCACCGATATAAGGCCAACTCGGACTCCCAGATCGTAGGGGCAGACACACGGCCCGGCCGAGACATCAGGCCTCGAGTGGCAGAATCGCCGCAAGCCAACGAAGCAGCAACACTCACACCAGAAGCCCGTCTCAGGGCACGCGGCGTAGTCAAAACACCCCGGAATACTTGTAACTCAGACGTGGGCGTAAACAGACATCCATCTACAAATGCCTAACTTCGCTCCTCCAACCCGCATGTCGCTACTGCCGCCTTCGAATTGGTTCTTGCTGCTGTGCGCGCTTGCAGGTTTTGTGTCCGTGCTTCAAAGACTGAGTACTTGCAGAAGTTCCAGCGAAACGTTTCAAACAGATCTAAACGCTACATACAGCCGAAACCCTGAACAGAGAAATAACCCTACCCCTCGAGCCTAAACGTCCGGATCTGGCAGGGCTCTACATCCTACAAATATCAAGACCATGGAGGCACCATCAAGAACGCACCCGCAGGTCCCACAGTGGCTGGTGGTAGTCTCGGGATCCGACAAAGCTTAAACTCTGAAGCCCGGATTCGGGCGCCTGGCCACCAACGCAGCCAATCGCCTAGGCTTCGGGGCCTACGGTTGGGAGCTTTAGGGTTTAGGGCTCAGCGTTCAGGAAAACCCCTTCCAGAGTGGAAAGCGTTCCGTGTTTCAGAGTGGGCGTCACCACCGTCCTCATGGCTGTGGAGGCGCGGGCTAGTGTACCGGGTCGACGAGGGCATAAGCACCGCTGGGTATCGGTAGGTGGGCAGCTTGGGTTCATGGTTTAAGACGTATTATAGGCAGCACATCGAGTTGGGAATGTTTGGCTTGGCGGCTTCGCCCTTAGGTACAGACCACACAAACTCTGAAGTCTAGTTCTGCTATTTCAAGGCCTCCGTGAATTTGTGGCTCTGATCCTACGACAAGGAAGTTTGTAAACCACAAGAAGGGCCACGATGCAGGGCACAGGTAAGTCTGAGGTTACCCGGTGCCCGGTCTTAGAAGGCTAATGCTTCGCAACTCTGAAATCAAGGCTGTCAGGCTCGTGAGTTAAGAACGCGTGCTTGAATGAGTTTTGGGATGGGGTGCTTGGGCCGCCGCTGGGTGGGATAGAAAGACACAAAAAGCCTTCCGCAGCAAAGTATGCTGCATTCGACGCGACCTTGTCGCATGATACTTTCGTCTCTGCTTATTCCACTGCAAACCAAAACAGAGCTGGGCTTTACTAGCCCATGATTCGCATGAGCAGATATTTACGGACTTATTGAGCCCTACACTCAGCAGAATCCCTGAAACCCTGCTTTGTAGGACCAGTGTCGGATGAAGTAACTGTGGGCCTTCTGTACACTCGAAGTAAGACCGAGAAAAGCTCTAGTGGCACCAGTACCGATGGCAACCCCACCGCTCTGCTAATGGGATTGAGGGCCTTGGGTTCAGGACCGGGGCTAGGTGAGATAATGGGCTCAGGTGCACAGGGGCAGAAGAATTTATGCATGGGATGGCGGGTTAGAAGTTACCGGCTCAGGGGTTTACGGCTTCCGGCTTCACGGTGGCGTTTTGGGCCCCCAACCCTAAAGCCCTAAACCTGGTATTTACAATCCAAAGCCAAGACACCCAATATTGCAGTCCCTCCTGGGCAAAGCTGAACCTTCAGGGTATCGGAGGACAAACGTTTCCATCAGCGAGCTGCCGTAAATCCTGAACCCTAAACTCCAAAACCAGAAGTCCTGCATCCTAAATCCTACGACTAGAACCCAAACCCTGCCTTGGAACATCCTACATCCTGAACCTTCGACAAAACATAAGTCAACCCCGAGACCCAGGCCATCAAACACGCAGCCCCCAGCCCCGAGTGTTTCCGCAAACCCGCTGGTTGTATGTCAAGGCGCTAGTCTGAGAAAAAATCCTACTGAGTATCTCTGAGTCCGACGTGGGTACATTCCAAATCCTAAATCCTATGCCCTGAATCCGAGCCCCAAAGCCAAAACCCTGAGTGAGGGTATGTTGGGCGTGCAGCTTTGTGTCAATAACAGAGTGTGGAGCAGTTGGGCCAAGATCCAAACGAACATTGCAGAACTTCTGGGACCCCACAAATTTGGAGCTTCGGGCTCAGGTCAGAAATACTGAGGCTAAGAGCACGGTGTTACAAGGCGTTGGGCTTGGGACTTGCAGGTTTGAGCCCTGTCCAAAGCCCATTGACCCTAAAGTATCTACAGCTGAAGCCATGCCCTCAAGACACACAAAGTTGTTTGAACTATACACTGTTACACAAGAGGTCTTGGGGCAAAGTCTGGCTTTCAGCGCTGAACCTCGAAGCCTGTGGCCGGTGCATGCCGGTGCTCTATACCCTCAAGCCGTTAGCACTCACGTTGAACACTGTCCAGCCCCGCTTCCTACACCCAGGAACCCTGGAACCTAGAACCCTGAACCCTCTGACCAAGACCCCCCTTCCAAAAAAAAAGAAGGATCCCCGCCCAAGCACCTTTGGATGGCCATGTTTTCCGCAAAGAAGTTGGCATTGGAGAGCCGGTTGGTTGCTGGGATTGGAGGCTTCTGAGTAGGACTAGGACTAGGAGAATTCGAGCATGGGGAGGCTACAGGCGTTAGGGTTTTAGAGTTCGGGGTTGTTTGGGTCTTTGGTTTTGGGGCTTGGGGGCTTCAGAGTTCGGGGTTTAGGGGTTTTTAGAGTAGGTCTTGTTGTTTGGGATCCAAGGCCTCACTGGGCTTCTGGGATCAGAACATGCAGGGACGACAAACCCCCAACCGCGAGACCCAGAGCAATACGCTGGTCCCTGAAAGAAGCCCTCCACCCTACCCAGAAGAAAAAGAAGAAAAGAACAAAGACAGGGAGGGGACAACAAATCAAGGGCAAACACTAAACGCAACAAATCCAAAGCATCCAACTCTGGAGCCCAAGGGACCGGAGGGCTTTAGGAGGCTGAGGAGTTTTCTCAAAAAAGGCAGGTGTGAATCTTAATCTGGCCGACTAGGGTAAAGGTGCATTGCCGTCCTCGGCTTTGGAAGTGTAGATCCCCGAAGTCCCAAACCCTACACCCTACGTGTAGAGTCTGGGGGAGCGAGGGCCTAGATTGGGCAGTGCGTGAGGCGATGGAGATGAGAAGATGAAGGTTTAGGGTTTGCAGGTGCATCTCAGAAACTGAAAGACGGCTCTATAAGGGTATGTTCAATGCTTTAGGGCCGCGGGTTGAACATGGAAAAGGACGTCGGTCGAGCGTTGGGCTGCTTTCAAAGGCGAAGAGGGCTATTGAAGTCTGAAAAATCAAGACACTTCTTGCGAGCATTGACGAGTAGAGGAGTCTTGCGTCGCCTGCGACTTCGATTCTCTCAACGATTCAATCAAGGTCTGGAAAACATCACGATAACCGGGAAACTACCTCCAACCCTTGTACAACCTTGACCTGGACCCTCTGGTTTGCGCCCCATAGCCTTTTGCCACGCCCCCCCCCCCCCGACCCGTAACCTTAAGCTCCTAAGACACTCCAAAATCACAGCAGGAATGCAGTTCAAAGCACAGATAAAAGGAAGTTGAGGATCAGGACGTGTAACCTGGGATTCCGGGAGGATAGGCATTCGAGGGTTCTTGGGTCTTCCTTTCTTTAAGGGCTTGCAAGGGCTCGTGGAATGGCCACTTGCAGTTTTGGGTGTTGGCGTGATCGAGCTTGTTGTTCAGGTTGCTGATTTTGGGTTGCCGGATGTCTTA